CACCCCCCAAAAAAATTTTAAGTTTGTTTTTAAAAACTATTTTCAATTTCAAAAATTATTTTCTACTCTAGTAAAAATAAAAGATATTTCTAAAAAATATCTTTCATTCATAAATCAAACACTAGAAATTGTTTTCCGGAAAATGTTTTCCACTCACTAACCAAACATGAGAAAATAAGTAAAAAATCAACTTGTTTTCCAAGAAAACATTTTCCATGGAAAACATTTTCCTTCATACCAAACACACCCATAGTGGCTAATATTTGACAATAGGTGTTCAAAAGTGGATATTCACTTAATTCGCCCAAATTTATGATGACGGCGTTTTAGTATAAAAGTGAAACCCTTAAAGAGGACATATCATTCATCATATCGAAATGAAGCAATATGGCAAAAAGAGTTGGTGGAGAAGATAGAATATCAGAATTGCCTGTGCATATCATTCATCACATCTTATGCCACACTAACCTCGACGTCAAAGAGGCGGCGATAAGTTGTATGTTGTCCAAGAGATGGTGCTATTGCTGGACTTCAAGACCTAATTTGATATTCGATCAATTTCAAGGCAACAAATATATGCCCCTTGAAAACTATGTCAAGTTGGTTGATCAATCCCTATGATCCCATATCGATAAAAACTTACATCTTGAACAATTCATCCTTACATATTGTGATCCAGAAGTGGATTCTCACCTGGATACTTGGATTGAATTGGCGGTTAAACTCAACGTCACAGAGCTGGGGATTCACCCTTCCTTTTTAAGACCAAATGGCTTACCTCATGTTATTTATGATGCTAAAAAGCTGAAAACATTGTCGTTAAGCACGTGCAAGTTTGAATTTGATATTAGCACCACTCACACAAGATTTTGTTGTCTTGAGGCTCTTTCTTTGTCTCATGTCCATATTTCAGATGCCCAACTACAAAGAGTTATCGAAAGATGCCCATCTATCAGGACTCTAAGTCTATAGTGTTGTGAGGGTATAAGCAAATGTCACATTTTTGGCTTAGTACATCTCGAGTATTTGACTGCAAGTTATTGCAAACTCCATAGTGTGACAGTCTAAGCTCCATATCTTCGATGCTTTATATATAAAGAATATGCTCAAATGAATGCATTTGCTACTATGTACACTCAGGGTGTCAACCGACAACTATGACCTTTAACTTTGGGTGTGCACAAGTAGACATTTAAATTTGTATAAAATTGAACAAATTGACACATTTGGTGTACGTGACACCCTACATGGAAATTTTGTGTCATACATAGCGTCATGCGTGTATTATGCCATGTAGGACACATGTATCTACTTGTTCAATTTTATACAAGTTTAACTGTCTACTTGTGCTCACTCCAAGTTAGAGGACATAGTTGTCCGCTGAAGCCAAGTTAAGGGTCATGTTAATGTATTATGCCTTAAAAATTTATTATCGCTAAAAGCTATTTTGTATTGTATTGTGTTTAGTATTAGATCTGAGAAAAAGAATGGGAGATAACTAAGTAATTTAATAATAATTTAACTTTAAAATGTTAATTTTATTCTTATTTAAATGCTTTATAGTCACACACTTATTTTAGTCCATAAATTTCGAAAGTCTTTTTTTTAATTTTTTTATGTCAAATCGAATAACATCACATAAATTAAAACAGAGAGAATATTGATTTAGAATCGACCAAAAAGTAAAGCTGTTAAAATTCCACCATTTGATGAACCTTAAGATCTAGGATGGAGCTTTGAGAGTAAATAAACAGATTGCTTTGTATTGATAATTGATGATCCTTTACAACTGAATGAATTAAGAAAATATCTAGCTAACTACCTCTATTTATAGCTGATACAGATTAGTTTACTAACTAACTAATATTCCTGTTATCAATTCTGTTATAACAGAATTTGACAGTTGTACAAGATCCACTATTCTTTTATTATTTCAATGCCCCCCTTCAAGCTAGGTGGTGAAAAAATGTTTAAGACGCCTAGCTTGGACATCAAATGATAATGCTGAACTCCTCCAAGTCCCTTTGTCAATAGGTCTGCCTCCTGCTCATTTGTTGAAACATACTCTGGATGTATTAGCCCTTGCTGAACCTTTTCCCTTATGAAGTGGCAGTCTATTTCTATGTGCTTTGTCCTCTCATGAAACACAGGATTGCTTGCTATCTGCATTGCTGCTTTGCTATCTGTAAGTAGTCGAACTAGTGTAGTTATCTCTACTCCCAAAAACTTAAACAACCCCAGCAGCCAAATTAATTCTGATACTGTTAGTGCCATGCTCATGTATTCTGACTCAGCTGAGCTCCTTGCCACATTGTTTTGTTTCTTTGACTTCCAAGAGATTAAGGATTGTCCTACTTTCACAATATAGCCAGTCACTGACTTTCTTGAATTTGGACAACTTGCCCAACAGCATCACAATATGCTGTGAAAGAAGCACTTCCTTCTGCAATTAGTAAGATTCCCATACCTGGTTCATTCTTTATGTATCTTATAACTTTGTGTGCTGCTTCTAGGTGAGACTTTTTAGGATTTTGCATAAACTGACTCAAGGTCTGAACACTATATGCAATGTCTGGTCTGGTTAGTGTCAAGTATAGTAATTTTCCTATCAATCTCTGATAACCTTTGATATCACTCAACAGTGCATCATCCTGCAAGCCACAATGCTGGTCATACTCCTGACTTGTGAGCTTCTGATTTTGTTCAAGTGGTGTCATTGCAGTTTTGGATCCTGCTAGTCCTAGATCAGCAATTAGTTCCAGTGCATACTT